GTTACTCTGAAATATGCTCTGTATATTAGATCTAGATGAGTTTGAGTGAGCCACCCAAAATGTATATCAACTTTTGAATATAATGTAAATGAAGGAATCCCAGGTGACATTTATGTATTACATAGTTAGGCTATTCAGTAGTTGTGAGTCTGGCACTTAGGTCAAGAAAATTCAATGCTGGCCGGGCATGGTGGCTCATGCCTGTAATCCCAGCACTTTGGGAGGCCGAGGCAGGCAGATTATGTGATTAAGAGATTGATACTATCCTGGCCAACATGGTGAAACCCTGTCTCTACTAAAAATACAAAAAAGTTAGCTGGACATGGTGGTGTGTGCCTATAGTCCCAGCTACTCAGGAGACTGAGGCAGAAGAATCGCTTGAACCTGGCAGGTGGAGGTTGCAGTGAGCTGAGATCTTGCCACTGCACGCCAACCTAGTGACAGGGCAAGACTCCATCTCAAAAAAAAAAAATTTTAATGCTATATCACAATTATAGTGGGGATAAAATGACTATTTAAAATATGAACAAAATAGTTCAGAAATACCTGTATAATAAAAGTAATAAACATTTTTGTATGTTCATTTCTAAAGAGATATCTATTGGTTAAGCAATTTGTTCATTTATTCGTCAAAGTTTTAATGGACCAGAAACTATCTAAGTGTTGGAAGGACTAAGATTGTGAAGACATAGTAATTCATTTATTCAGTGATTATCTGTTGAGAGTCTATTATATGTGGGACTCCGTTTTTTGAAGCCAGAGATAACAAATACATATATAATGTCAGGTACTATTAAATATTATAAAGAAAGATGTGGCAAGATAGGTTAAAGAAAGAGTATGTGTGTGTGTGTGTGTGTGTGTGTGTATGCACACATGCGTTATATAATGTGATCAATTGAAGATATGGAGGATCTAGTGGAATAGTATGAGGCTGGGGAAAGAGCAAGTATAAACTCTTTAAGGGAAGAAGGAGTTTCGTGTGCTTGAGGAATAGTAAGATGGCGAGTGTGGCTACAGAAAAAGCACTGATGAGGAGAGTGTTAAGAGATGAGATTGGAGTAATAACAGGGACAGAGTCTTGGAGTGCATCCTATACAACATGATACAGGTTTGGGTCTGAGTATTTAGGGAAGTGATTGGAGAAGTTGGGCTTTTGGACAGTCCCTCTGCCTGCTATGTGGAGAACTGATGATAGGGGGCAAGATTGGAGGTAGAGAATTGGGGATTGATTATAGTAGTTTGGATGAGAGATGATGGTGGCTTAAACAAGAGTGAAGGCAATGGAGATGGTGACAAGTGATCAGGTTTGGGATGTATTTTGAAGGTTGAGCTGATTGGTAGGAGGAAGTGATGATAACCAATGGTTTGAATGGAAAGAGAGGGGAGTGTTATCAAAGGAAGAAAGGAGTCAATAAAAAAGATTTTGTTTTCAGAAACTGGGTAAAAAATAATGGTCATGTACGTATATGGAAAAGCCTAGGGGAAGAGTAGATTGGAGGAGTTAAAAAATTCTATTTGGACAGGTTAAGATTGACATGCCTATTAGATATTCAAATAGTTGGATATATGAGTCTGAGTCTCAGGGGGTTTTGTTGGTGGAGCTACAGTTTTTCGAGTTATCAGGATATGAATGATGTTGAAAGTTATAAAACTAGATACAATCAACCAGACCGTAAGTGCAAATAAAGAAGAGGATCCAGGGACTGAACACTGAGGTTTGCCAACATTTGGTGGTTGGAAAGAGAGAGAGGAGGTGGCATAGGAGATTGAGAAAGATTTGCTGGTGAGTGGAAACAAAACCAGGAGAATGTGGTATCCCAGAAACCAAGCCAAGAAAAAGTTTTAAGAAGGAGGGTAATGAACCATAAAAAAAGCTTCCAAGAGATCAAGATGGGGACCTAGAACTAACTGTTGGATTTCTCAGGACATGAAAGACACAGCTCCAGAGACAGGAAAATAAGGATGCATATAAATTGCTATACAATGGTGGGAGATCCTAGAGATGTAAACAAATTTCTGAAACTAGATTGAAGATGGAACAGGGAATTATTTTTGGGGAGTCAAAGATAGCTACATGGAGCAGATGTACTTTTGGATTTTGGTAGGTAGGAGGTAGGGATACATCAGGATTCATAGAAGTTTAAAAATTGTTTTTTTTTGTAGCTGGTTGTTGATTTTTCCTGCAAAAATAATTCAAAATAATTTTGCATAGTTTTCACTCATGGAAAACTGATGTTTCTCCTCCCAATTTAATATCCCACTACTATTACTCCATGTAGACACATTTGTTAATTATCAGTGAACATGGTAACTATTTTATGAAGAAAATACATGCACTCCATCCTACCTTACTCTGCTGAAGGAAACTCTTGTAATTACATTTTTCCTTCTTGTAATCTTTATCTTTTAATTACATTTTCATTCCTTTTTCTGGCTGTATGCAAGTATCGAGACTATATTCTTAATAGCTACCATGTACCTAACTCTTATCACATAGGAGGCACTATTTTAAGAACTTTGCAGATATTAATTATTTTTTTCTCCCATACAATTCTAATATCTTCATTGTCTCTGTTTCTCATTTGTGATAACTGAGGCACAGAGAGGTTAAGTAACTTCCTCAAGGCCACAGAGTAAATGACAGAGCCAGTATTAGAACTGGGCTGTCTGGCTTCAGAGCTCACCATCTTGCACAGTAGGTTGTATTTCAATCTATACTATTTTATCTCTACTTTTCTAGGTTGGGTAGTTATTAGTAAAACGTCTTCTTCAATGGATAGGCTCTCTATGACTTAAACTATAACTTCTAAAGATTCAGGACTCAATTGCAGGTTGTCATTTTAGAGTAGGCCAGTAGGACCCAGGAACTGGATACTGGATCCAAATGGAGAAGAGGGCATTTAGTTCTTTTACAATTGATTGTAGGTTCTCACGTGATTGCATAAGGATTTATGTTCAACCAGATCATAGATCAGGAGAGTGGTGGAAAAGGAAATCAAGTCTTTGTGTTGGAGAAGATCCCTCTGCTTATGGAAATGATCACTTCATTACAGTCCTAGACCTATGTGGCTCATGTCTCCGTTCCCTTTTAAAATTTACTGAAAGCACATGAGATGATTATACACTTAAAGAGGTACAAAGAGTACATCAAAGCAACCATGTTCAGGAATGCTTACTATGTGCAAAGTATTGCTCTGGGTGTAGTGGTTGTGATTTCTTGGGAGCTAAAATAAAAGACTAGCCAAAATCTTTAAGATGCTTTAGTGCTCAACAATAGTATGTATATAATTAGAATATAAAATAATTTGAGCCTAGTGGAATCTAGCTATGGTTCAGCCTTTGCTTGATTTCTAGTGTTTTTTTTTTTAAATAGGCTGACTCAATTCTTTTTCTTCCTGATACAACATGGTAATTGGCTCCCTACATATATGGGGATTTGGATACATAATTTTAATAAGCATTGGAAGCTTCTTCCTTTAGTAGATTTTGAATTCTACCCTTGATTTAAAAGTTTTTGAAATAAGGTAGCCACTTTCCCTTTCTTGGCAGAAAGAAGGTGTAGAATAAATAACTTTTGCTAAGATGCTTTCAGGACAAGAATCTGAGTAACTCTCTTAAGGCGTGGGCCCTCAAATTTTATAATTAATTTTTTCCTCAAGATGAAAGTCAACCTGTTCTTCTCTTTATTCTGTTCTCATTAAAATGTTCTTCTCTGGGCATAGTCATTATATTTTCAGAAAGGCTTAAGTGAGCCAGCATTAAAATTTTCTCTTAATTTTTACAAATATAGAAAAACCTGCTGGGAATTGGATACTGTATTCACTGTGGTTCTCTCCCTGTCTGCTGGGTAATATTTTCATATATCATGTAAGTGTAGGAGAAAGCAGCGATTTAGGTGATGGCTTAGTTCTGGAAAAGAAGCTACTTTCTATAGAATGAGGATTTCAAACGGCCACATTGCCAACAGACACTCATGCTGGTTTCCTGTGGGCCATTTTCCTTTTGCTGAACCTGACCCAAAGCCAAAGTGAAGGAGGAGAAATTTTCCTTCCACAAAGTCTCAGATGTCTGATAAAGATCACTGTGACATAAATAAGTTATAAAATACAGGATACTATAAGCTTGAGGAATTTCATTAACTTGCATTTGATAAACTTAATATAATTTGGTTTGGAAATTAAGGAAAAAAGTAAGAATCAAAATGGAAAAATTTAGGTAATGCTATCACCCAGACAAGTATACCTACAAACTTTAGAACATTCAAAACATTAAAGGTCCTCTGAAAGAATTAAGTTGTGACTACAGTATCTTAACTGTCATGCTTTAAAATATTGTATGTGCATTTTAGAAATGATTCAGATTTTATTTGTGTTTTTAATTTTAAAAACATGTTAATGAAACAGTTTTCTTTTAAGATACAGATTGCCTAATAGATATTTAAAACCTTTTAAAAACTTTCCCCCAATCTACAACCCCAGGAAAATAAAACTGTAGTTTACAGCACCAATTGTTATAGAAAAAATGAGTGTTTTCTTAATCTTAACATTTCACGTATTATGACATGGAGTGAATACGCAAAGAGTGGCAAGAACATTCCTTTCACTGTTTGTGGGTCTAGTGGTGATTTTTTTTTTGGCAGAAAAGAATTGTGATGGAATTACACTGCATTTAAAAATGTTCACAATAAAAAGTTAATGAATCTTGAGGCAAATGTGGAGTAAAATCTCTGGCCCCCAAATCTAGAGGGCACGTCAGAGTATTTTCCTGGTGTTACCCATTTGCTTTAAGGGGGAAAAAGTGTTACCATACAAATGGATGCACAAATTGTTCTACCAACAATTTCAGCCAAGTCCTTGGTTGTATGCTACGCTAAGCTCCCTGGTTACTGCCAGGCCCGCACCCAATACTGACATTAGACATGAGCCAGGACCCTCTGAAGTTAAGGTATCGTCCCCCGCATCGTTGGTCTGGATGCAGAGTTTCCCAGTTTTTCTTACCTGCATAGTGGTCAAACACAGTGGGCACGTATTCCTCCGGGAAGGCGTCGTTGGCGTAGCTCATCAGCAAGCAGGTTTTCCCCACGGCACCGTCCCCCACCACCACACACTTCAACATCTTCTTCTCGTCGTTGCCCCTGCAGCCGCAGCTGCTGTCAGTTCCCTCTTTGCAGTTCATTCTTGCGGCTCCAGCTGCTGGGGACTCCTGCTGCTGCTCCTGCTTCTCCCAAAGCACATGAAGCGGCGGAAAGCCAGTGCCAGGCTTGAGTTTACTCTGACTGACTTTGGGAACCTTGGCTCATACAGACATGTCCGAGGCTGGGATATGCCCTGTTGCTTACCATGCTGGTAAAGAAAGGTAACTCACACTTGGGGGAGTTGTGAAAAGGATCTGCCCCTTTCCGCTGTCAGTGTGAGTTAAGAAACCCTCAGTTTCACAGAATTCGGGGGGCTTCCTAACAGCCTAGAAATTTCAGCAGTCTGAGAGTTTTGCTCTGTTCTCCCTGTCTCCAGCCTGGCAAAAGACACGGTGAAATTTTGCTAAATCGTCCTCATTTTCCAAGTCACATCTAACATGGAGGAAAGCTGGGCTTTTTAATGGAGTTTTTTTCCCCTTGCTTCCTCCAGCTTCCCGAGTGTCAGGAAATCATGGGTTTCCTGCTGCATTCCATATTAGGATCAGTGGGCTGAGGAAGGCTGCAACAATGGGAGCTCTGTGTGTGTGTGTGTTTGTACTTCTGGGGAACGATGCCAGGACATGGAGTGGGAAAACACTAGGGGTCCCACTGCAGACTCAAGCTGTCAGACTTCCGGTTTCATCCGCTGCTTGCGAGGCTGTGTGCTCCTGGCTGGCTGGGGAGAAACTGACTGCAGGATGGAAAACGGGGTTGGACTGCCTGCCACAGAAACGGGGGGAATGGTTAGAGTGAGCAGAGAGAACCACACCAGCAGTCCTAGGATAACATATGACATCACCCCTCACTGAGTCACCAGTTGAAAGCTCTGCAAACTAAAAATGAGCAGTTCTTTACTGACTTAAATGAGAAACTTTAAGCGACTTTCCCAGAAATAAAGAAGAAAACCTTCTAGAGTCATCTCATTTCAAAGGGAAAAATTTTTGTAGGTTGTAGGTATAATATGATCAGGTTTATAAACTGCCACATGTCTGGAATATGTATTCCAGACACAATTTTTTTTTATGATCGTAGCACATAAGAAATCAATCAGATGTGGGACATTTGCATATTCTTATTAGTGGACAAACACACGTGTGCTTGGCTCATTTGTAACACCCTTGGACGTAAGCGGATATAGGAGGGCTTTTTGGTTGGTTTAAGGTCTTCGATGCTATTTTTGCTTGGACATTTTGCTTTTTGATTTAGTGTCCCCTTGGGTCAGACTGGTCTCTTCAATTACAAAGGAGCCATGGGCAGCTAATTTATTTGTCTGTTCGGTCACTCAAAATGAAGACTCTTTGAAGCTCTGTATTTGATTAATGTGCTTGGTCTTAGAAAAGAGTGGAACTCTGCAAGTGATTTTTGACAAATGGGTCAAAATGAGGGAACTCTGGTTTTTTTTTTCTTTCATTTTTTGAACATTGATTTTGAAGAATTCAGATTATCCAGTTGTTTGAGAAGTTTTTTTTTTCTTTTTCTTTTTTTGGGTGAGGGGTGAGATGGGAGAAGTGTCTGTTTTACTAAGTGGCTATTAATAATAGATATACCCACATATCATTTATATGCTGCCATATAATAGGTATAGTCTCAAGTTTCTTCTGTTTTGGATTATAGTAAAATTTATCATAGTGCTTCGTGTCCAAGCCTTTCTTTCCTATAAAGGGACAGTGTTTCAAACAGGTTATGATGTATCAGTCAGGTTATATTGCAGTAACAAACAATCTACGTATAATCTAAATATTATCTATGTATTATCTACGTAGAACCTAAATAGCTATGTATAACCTAAATATTATGCTATCAGACACAGACATTTAAGTCCATTCTGATTTTTCTGTGAACTGTGAATTAAGACACCTGGGAGACTTGAAGTATCTAGTTATAGATCTTTTACCTCTAAGTCAAAGGATTGGTACATCTGCCAGACAGGTTATATGCAATGATGGGTTATGACCATTGAGAATGTTGGCTATATTTCTCAAAACAAATGTAGTTTATGACTGTTTACTACTCCTGCACCAAATTGAATATTTATGGAGAAAAGATTTTGAGACATCCTATGAAAAGTGGCAAAAAAGTTAAAAATCTAACATCTCAGCTTGGTGATTATGTAGATCATATTGTCCATGTGAGACTAAATCTTTTTAAATATTAAAAAACTGATCTGAACTAGAGTAACAGAATCTTAAAAAAAAAAAAAAAAAGAGTAGAGACAATTCATCATTGTTTTTATAGGTCCATGAGTCCACAGAGTTCTGATTGCTTATCCAGGTGGAATGGTCAAGAAAGTCCTTCAATTTCAAAGGTTGACAGGTATGCATTTTAGAAGTGGCATGAAGACCATTTGCTAAAATATTCTTTACCAGATGCCTGTGCTTTTGGATCTTGGGCCATGAAAATGATTGAGTGGTGGTTTTGTAGCCATTAATTATTTGGTTTACCTCAAGCACCAAGTTTACACAAACTTACCAGAATGTGGTGTAGTCTTTTTGGGCGATATTTTTTGCTTTTTCCAAGAGATCTTAATTCTTGGCTCTTTCTTGTCCTGTGAGCCATGGCTTCACACAAATTTCCCCAAATGCCAACAGGGCATTTTTGTGTAAAATTCTAACTCTTCTGATTGCTTCCAGTTTTATGATGACCTTCGTAAGAGAGCCAAGTCTTCACTCCCCTCTTTTTTATTTTTTGTGGTTGAAGCTGCATAGGGAAGTAATGCAATGAGATCAGATACTCTGATTCTGGATTATCCTCTATGAAGGATATTGTTTTGACTCCACTCTTAGGAACATGAAATGTGCTGTGATTCTGATGATTCCAGGATGCCCAGCCTCGTTATGAATCTCCACTCCAGAGAAAGCCCTTTCTGGGACTAATGTGAGAATTTGGCTTTTACTGGTGATGGTTATGAATCTGGAGGGGCTATGTAGTCCTAGGGGTTCTGACCCAAATCTCCCACTGACCTAAACCTCAAGATCAGTAAACTGAACAGCCTGTTCTAGGACTGGTCTGGACTGGAACCACCCCTCCCCAAGGGAAGTGAGTCATTGCTGTCAGGGATGCTCATGTATCTGCATTATTTTTCTGTGAGGCCACCTGCACCCAGCTTCTGGCTATTGTCCATGCCATATCATGCCATATATCACACATCATATCATATCACATCACATCATATCAGCTACATTTTCTTGGACATGATCTTTTATAATTCCAGAAATGGTTTTCCTTTTCTTACTTGGAATACTTCTGGTTTTTTTCCCCCAAATCTCTTAATTCTGAGAGAGGTAGGTGACTTTTAGCCACAGGCAGATGGGACATCTTTTTCCTTCCTAGGAAAGAAGAGGCTGATTTGTCCACTAATGATAAAGTTTTGTGTGTTTCTTCTGTATTTCATTATTGCATCCCTTAACTCTGAATACAAAGCCTTGTCTCTGAGGAAGAGGATCCTGTGGTGTATCTGACCTTTTTTTTTTTTTTTTTTTGATTTCTTTCTTTGGGAACCAGGAAATTAGAGACTTTTATGTTCCCTTAATGCAGAAAATCTGAAGCTAGGTAACAGTTTAGAAAGAACTTTGCGATTGACTCCTGATCTTCCAGATTGGAGAGGCGTGCTTTAGAAGGTAGAAAAATTTGGTGTTCAGGTAAGTCCTGCGCTGTTCCTTCACCAAGGCCACAGAGCAGGGAGTAGCTTGCAGAAATGGCCATCTTACAGTCAAAGGAAGATCTCTGGTGATGACACTCTCTAGTTAGTGATATGGGCCCAAAAAGACTAAAATCATTGGTTGGCCATTGTCTGGGTGGGTAAGCATCACGCCTCTGCCACAGGCTGAACTTCTGTGGATTGGGGCCAAGTCACAATCTCTTATCCTTTTTTGTAGGGATCTCTTGGGAGAATAAGAAAGATTGGTGGAAATTTTCCACTTCTGGTAGGAAAACAACTAAAAATTTGCCCTCTACTTACAATGCTCTTGTAGCATCAATGTCATAAAAAATTAATATATAGTTGGAGGACTTGAAAGCCTCTCAACAGTAGCTGGGAACATTGTGCTCTGTTATGTGCAAGGAGGCATTTTGGTTATTAGGATTGGATTACACAAATACAAGTTTCCCTGAGAGGCTGCTGGTTGCTGATCAACCCCTTGTTGGTGAGACACTAAATGTGGAAAGAAATGTAAATCTACTCTGTGGACTGAATATGTCTGCTCAGATTTCATTAACAGTTCTATTTTGTATCTAGAAATCATCCGTATCAGAAAAGAGAGTCATAAAAACTACCAGGGCTTGAATAAGACCACAGCTGAAATCTTAGATTTGATAGAGACTAGGAGGAAAGATCTGGGGACCAACCTCAATGTGGTAAGTGGAAGAAACAGTCTGTGGGGGCAATGATAACATCTTCAAACAAATCTGTGAAAACCCCCAGGACAAAAGAAAGAAGGGAATTACATTCTTCATGTTTATAACCCCAGTAGCCACGACAGAAGGTGGATGGAGTCATTATGTAAAAGAACACAAAGCCCTCAGGTTAAGTGCTCCAGAAAACACTCCTACCTTATTATTAAGAAGCAAAATTCTTGCAGAGTGTTTATTTTCCAGGCACGTTTTATGAAATCTCCCTTTTTTATTGTTTTCCACTTCACAATTATGGTGATTTATGAAAAGCATTGGTTTTGGCCAATATTTGACGATATTATATTTGGAGATTATTATGTATCTTTCCTCACATTTCAGAAAATTTGAAAAATTATAATTGATTTCATGAAAGGTGGATCTCTTTTGTCTACTCTGGAAGTGTAAAAGTAACTTCTTTTCACTTTAATTTTATATGATAAAATATCATTTTTTACTGACTTTAATGGGAAAATAGGCAGTGTGGTTAAAATGATTTGGCCTTTGTAAATTTCACATTTGCTCTTTGATCCAGTCTTTAGGTCATCCTTCCTTGTTCGAAGGGAAGATCATACTTCAAAGCTATCCACATCCATAAAGCGTTCATGGCTAATTCTGATGACGGCAAAACCTGAGTGCTGCCGTTTGTTTGCTATCTTGAATGTAAAGCCGTCATAGTAATAATATCTGCCTGCTCTGTAGATACGGTAGATACTCAAAGGTTTATTTCTATTGTATTTTTATTTTTTATTATGTTTCAAAACTCTCTCTAAACCTCAATTTCGTTGACTCTGGAAAGGACTTCTATAATTATCAAATCTAACTTCCCAAACAAGAAATTTTTCTTAAAACGTGGCTTGCAGGCCGTGTCCTTCTCATGAATGCCATTTTTCACCGTGTAAAGCAGCAACAATTATTATTTACCATTTGACTAATCAGGATATAGTTGGCTCTGTAGTGAACATTAGTTTTTTGTGCCTATGATCTCTATCCTTTTTTTGTAACAGCAATTCAATTTCCCTTTGCAGAACCCCTCTCTTCTACCTTTAGTCCAAATTGCTCAGCAGGGCTGACCCCACTCTTTGATCCAGGGGTGAACACGTAATTCAGTTTTGGCAAATTATTGCCGGAGCTCTTCCCGAAGTTCTCTGGAAAGAGGTGCTTTGTCCCCTGGAGTTCCTGTCACCAAGGATCACATAAGCTGTTGTTGAGGCCATCTTTGCCACCAGGAAGAGATTTCCTGATGCTGATAATGACAATAATAAAGGAGTTTACATTTTTGAACTCATTTAACCTAAAACCTAGGATGTAAACATTATTATTATTCTCATTTTTATGATTAAAAAAACA